TAAATAACATTGATTATGTGTTAAAGGAATATCATTCCTTCATTAGGCTTTAGTAAGCCCCTTTATAATATTTATGCTGTATATACTTGTGACACTTGCCAGATGCTTCTGGTGTTATTGTACAGGGGTACCTAGTGACAGCACTAGGATCCCGCTTCCTCTATCAAGGAATAAACAATTGAAATTGAATTGGTCCAAGTGACGCGCTAGGTATTTACACTATCAAGGGCAAATAATTATATTGGAAATGTTGGTTAGTGATCCCATTACATAATTTACTTCAGCAATAGCAGCATATGGGCCCCGGTGACGATACCTACCACTCTTACCGTAACAAAAACTTCAACTGAACAAGGTGTTTATCATGACATAACCAGGCCGATAACCCTCATGTATGTATGTATGATTTTTACTCAATAAATTCATACAAAATCAAGGTCCCAGTACAGGTGGATACGTACCCCGCACTGCAACAACAATGTACCGATACTAATTCTAGGATTTTATTCATATATCCACATGCTAACTTTGGTTAATAGCCATCTTAATAGCAGTATTATCTGTCTATCCACATACTAGCTTAGGTTAATAGCCATCTTAATAGCAGTATTTTCTGTCCGAGCCACGGCATCCACAACTCCTGTACACACGGCGGAGAGCTACACTACCGCCTCCTCCTCCCTGGACCCCACAGTACAACAACACAACTTGTTATCACCTTACCTTCACTCAACTGCTAATAACCACAACGTAGAGTCCTGGAAGTCCTCACGACGCCACAAACACGAGGTAATCCACAAACAGCAAACGTAAAACATGGAAATAGCGATCAAATACTGTATGACCACACACACACACATGTTGCCTCCACCACTGCCGTACCTCTAATGATCACTGGCGAGTGGCGAACCCGAGGTGCTTCGATTCCTTAATTCATTGGTTCGCTTTACTGATTCATATGAAAATAATCGACTGGACGGCGGAAAGAACACCATACACGATTGGTCCGTCATCTATAATCTCATTAATTTTCTTAAATCACTTCTATCCACCATTAGCTAAAATAAATCTGATAATTATTAACGAAAGAGTCATGAGTTTCGAAGCTTCGTCAACGATCCGCTCTTACGTCACTAAACTAGTCCACAACCAAACAAGCAGTTGGCTTACACGGTTAGCATAAGCGTAATACTTCCATTACTATTTTTATTATTATTACTATTATTATTACTATTATTATTATTATAAATATTATTATTAGTATAATTATTATTATTATTATTATTATTATTATTAGTTTTAGGCCGTGAGACGTGAGTTAATGTTCGACTGATGACTCGCTCTTTGCTCATGAAGAATATCAAAATCATCAAATGTTAATTTATTTTTCTTTCTAGGGGTGTGTAGATGGGAGGAAGGGTGTGTGGATGGGAGGAAGGGTGTGTGGATGGGAGGAAGGGTGTGTGGTTGGAGGTAGGGTGTGTGGATGGGAGGAAGGGTGTGTGGTTGGAGGTAGGGTGTGTGGATGCGGGGAAGGGTGGGGAAGGGTTCAATTTTCAATTTCAATTGTTTATTCCTTGATAGAGGAAGCGGGATCCTAGTGCTGTCACTAGGTACCCCTGTACAATGACACCAGAAGCATCTGGCAAGTGTGACAAGTATATACATTATACAGTATAAATATTATAAGGGGGCTTACTAAAGCCTAAGGAAGGAAGAATATTCCTTTAACACATAATCAATGTTATTTACAAAATATCTGGCCAGTATGGGGAGGATCATCGTGTCTCCGTCAGGGGGTCGTGGAGGGAAGGGTTTGTTATTTATTTTAGATTGTTTGGCTCTCTGAGGCTGGCTTGAGGTTTATGGCTGACTAGCTGAAGTGAACGGCTGGCTGGCTTAGGTGAATGGCTGGCTGGCTTAGGTGAATGGCTGGCTGGGCTGAGGCAAATATCTGGCTGGCCAAGAACCCCGCCAAGCAGATCCTCAATGCCAGACAGGCTGCATGTCGTCATAGGCAAGTACTGGGCAAGAACTGGCTCCAGAATGTATCTGCACCTGCGCTAGTGTTGGTCAAGTCTGGTCTTGAATGAGCTCACTCTCGGTGTTGTCACACTCTCTGGCAGAGTGTGCCAAGAGTTTACAAACTCAGAACTTGTGGCTTCTTCAACCATAAGCTGTGACCACCCGCCCCGCTAGGCTAGTGGGGCACGTCCCCCAGCTCCAGGTATGAACCCTCGACTGAGTAATGCCCTCTGAGTTGTTTATAAACTTAAATTAAGTCGCCCCTTGACTACCTGTAGTACAAGCTAGACAATTCCTGTAGGGGGAGGGATACAAAATTTGCCCCACTTAAGAGTTTGATAAAAAACAAACAAATATGAAGCACTATGAGTGTATTGTATGTGGAGATGAAAGATTCACATGGTATACTGTGCGTGTAAACTGAGAATATGAACAAGTACTGTGTGTACCTGTACTGTACTACATGTAGCATGACAATAGCGCTTGCCATTCTGGGGTGTTCTGAAGAAGTGCTGCAATTCATCTTTAAATTTGTTTACCTTTTATAATTTTATATTTGAAGTTTACTAAGAACATCTATTCTTTCCTGAATTTGGTGCTCAAATTTGCTAAGTGATATACTAACCATCAATTCCGTATACTGATTACTGCTCGTAGCCTTCACCTGCCTTTTTTACACGATAGTCACTGCCTGGTCGATGGGTGTTATTTTTTAGGTAGTACTTAACATATTCCATGTTCTCAGAAAACTTTTTAAAGTTCTCACTCTGCATTTCCCGCACTGTCAGAGTCGCCATATCCACTTATCTATCGCCACAGCACAACTGGTCACTTAGGTCCGACGCAGGGTGAGGCTGGGTCACGTCACTGTTTGTGAATGTGACATCATCAACCGCGCATGCGTAGTTATCGTTTCGGTTACTTCTGGTCCGGGGAACTTCTGGTCCGCTATACCAGAAGAAGTACCAGAGAGGAACCCCGAATTATATACTGTATACTAACTGATTTGTTTACAAAAAGCTGGAGCTGGAAAATCAATCTGTTTTTATGCAAGTCTATATTTTGTTGATTTAAGACCATATTAAATGTTTACATCACCCAATTTATAAATTGAAACTACCAAATCTATTAGCCTGAAATTTGTAAATTGCAATAAAGTTATTCTAAACCACATAGTGTAAAATATTTACTTGTAGCGCAATGTTTGTGTGGCGGAATAACATTTACGGGTTGTCTTGGGTACGAGATGACCCCTAACCCATCAGCAGAGACAGTTATGTCAGAGCCATCTTCCTCCCTCCCAGCACTACGTCGTAAATTCAACCTTTGGACCAGGACATCATAGTCATGTAAGAGAAAGACATGGAGGAGAAGGGTTATGTTAACACCAAAGGAAAGAAGACCTTGGAAAACCTCAAGCCATACAACATAAAGGACGCCATATTCAACTTGGAAGGAGGTACCACTGTCAACCTTGAAACACGACTGGACAAAGGAGCTCAAGGTTCCAAGGTTTTCTAACGATTTTGAGGGGTTTGAGTCAGCTAACTTCAACAGGTTTCTCCACGCTGTTGACCAGGGAAACCTACCTGATGAAGAGGTGGGAGAGTGGCTGCAGGAGGGTGCTGACCGCCCTGGCTACCACCACCTGACGGAGGAGGAGATAGTGCATCTCCCTTCCCACAGTGCAGGAGGAGGAAGAAGAAAAGGAGGAAAGTGTGCCCCAGGAGTCGTTGGCTTCAGCTATCGATGCAGCTGACAAAAGGCTGCGCTTTTTTGATCAGAAGGCGGACACACCATTTGCGGGGTACTACACGACCCTCCGTCAGCTGAGGCACGAGCTGCAGGTGGCCCTCCTACAGAAAAAGAAGCAGTCAAAGATCAGCTATTTTTTCAAGCCAGCAGTTCCAGCACTCCTCAGTTCCTGCTGCACACACTCCAATCTTCGTGCCTCTAAGAGTGAGGTAGAGAGTGAGTTGCCCATACCTTCTGTCGCTTCAACATCCTCACTTCATATTTTGACCCCTGAGTTGCCTGACATATTATTGGAGGACGATGAATAGTGTTGAAGAAAGTCATTATACAATGGTACAGTAATATTAAGTTTGTACTGTACAGTTAACATTGCACAATAGTAGTAATATTAAGTTTGTACAGTTAACATTGTACAATACAGTACAGTAATGTTAAATTTGTACAGTTAACCATGTACAGTATCTGTATTGTTTTATAAATTGAAAATAATTAGTCCAGTAAAATTGAAGTGCCAAACAACACACTGTTGTGTAAAAGTGCCTCAAACTAAATTATAACTGAACATCATAAGTGTGCTGTCTACCTACCATCTACAGCATCTAATAAGGTAATTAAAAACACCTTTATCTGTTTTATATATTGTTCCGTTTAACCCATAAACGATGGCTAGCGTTTTATGTAGCGTATACTGTATGTTGTCCTCAATAGGGATAGTGTACAGTGGTCTAATCAGATATGATATAGGCCTAATGAGCTAATACAGTAGGCACTGTACAAGAGGATGTTCTTGTGTAAACATGTTGGAGGTCGGCGGAGGGGTGATTGGATATTTCCTGTGACATGAACAGACTTCTGCACATGATTGGCTGTCTTAAGCATATTCTCTCCTCTAGAAGACTAACGTCTGTGATGTCAACACCAACTGTTGTGACGTCATCACCAACAGCTGTGACGTCATTACCAGGTTAGAGTAGGTTAGAGTAGGTCAGGTTGGGATTCTTTTGACCTTCAATTGGCACAAACGCCACGAGAGATTTTCACCCACGAAAAATAATACAAATTTAATCAGGATTCTTCATACAGCAAAACCAGTTAGTTTAATCAGAGAAGAGGGAAACACGTGTGAACCAAAGGGGGAGTGGGGGAAGGAGGGGGAGAGGAATGGGGGGGGGGAAGGGAGAGGGATAAGTAGAGAGAGGGAGGAGGGACCGTGTGAGCCAGTTGGCCACTAGCGACTACTTGACGAGGTTGGCTGCTCCTCCCTTGGACTTCGCTGTGGTGTCTCCCTGCTGTGTGTGTCCTGAGTGGGACAGAATTTTGGAACTTCATCATTCCCTTAGAGCTAAAGCCGAGTACTGAAAGGGAGAAAATATACTAAGTATCTCCTCTCCCGTGTGTGTTGTTCTTCCCTCAGATAAGTATGTGACAAGGTGGTATAATTTAAGTGTTTAGTTTAAGAGTTTATGTTTTTGTACTAATGTAAGATTGTTTATTGAAACGTAAAGTGTGATGTTATCCCTTGTGCATTACTTTGTTTGTTTTGATATTTGTTCTCAGTAAATTTTTTAAATTTGTTTACCATTTTGTAAGTCCCTCTTGCTGACAGCCTAGAAATAGGGTACATGGTATTTCTCTTAGAGCCTGATGGTTATAATAAGCAGTGGCATTTGCCTATAAATGACACAACTGGGAAAGAATCTGAGGAAATAAAGATTCCATTTACACTATCTTGTTACCAGTCCTAGGTTCTCCCTTAGACTGCCAGGCACATTTTTTTATCCGTCTATACTTGAGATTATAACACTGCAAAAGAAAAAATAATTAATTAAAAATAAGCGACTAGAACTATGGCGAGATTGGGGTGGGAGGACACTGGCCCTCTCTGAGTACTGACTTGACAAACGTAAACTTCTAACACCTGTCCACCCCGACCATATAGCCCACCTACACTCCACCACAACCTACCTCTAGCACCTTCTCACTACCATTTCACTACAACTCACCTCCACCCCGACCATAACCCACCTTCACTCCACCACAGCAAGCCTCTTAACATTTGCCCACCTCCTCTCCACCATAACTCACCTTAAACATTTGCCCACCACAGATGACCTCTAACAATTGTCCACCTACACCCCCCACCACAACCCACCTCTAACACTTGACCACCAAACCGTCACCACAGCTCACCTCCACCCCCACCAGTCCATCCATCCTCATAATTGCTCCTACTCAAGAAGACCGAAAAATGTAAAGGTTCTCTCCAATAATCAAGATCCATTTGAAGATAAAGGGATGGGAGCAATACCCTAATGAGCCAGTATCCCCCCACCCTTAGGGATGGTGGATGGGGTAGAGGAAAGTAGGGAGTGTGAGGTGGTGGTGGTGAAGGGGTAACAGTCAACACCATTTACCTAGCCAGGCAGCCACAAATAACTTCACCCGTGAAAAACGACCCAAGGCTTCTCCGCCACGAACCGTTCATAGCTTACACAACGGTACTGACGTCATTAGCATACGTCACTTGCGGGCTCCCTTCCCAGTCCCCCGCCTGCCAAGCCAACCCGACCAAGAAAGAAAAGCTCAGCCTTGGGAAGTGTCAACCAAACTCACGAGTCAGTCACCTCTCTGGTGCTGGTCTTAGTGGGGTAATGTTATTGAATAGGCGACGAGTGATAATATTTTGGGAGTCAAATGAGTATAATGACCGTTGGAGATGCTTAGGGGGTTAAATGTAGATTAAACCCAACCAACTGAATTGAATCTGTGATTAAGATGTACTGTACTGTACATGTATATGTATACTTTTCTTGGCCTTTAGTGTTCATGTTTACACGAGTGTTGGTTGTTTTGACACCTGTAATACTTGGGAGGGAATTTTTAAAAATGTTTCTCATTGCACACACTATTTAATTATTTCTAAACTGGCAAATCAGAGCACTGGGTAGATTTAGAACTTTATTAATCAGATGTCCTCTTCCTCTGCTAGTTTCTGAAATTGGCAAGTCAGCCACTCTCCCAGTTAAAAAAACTAATTAGGTAAGCTACGTGCTCATGAAATTAGTTAGTCAGAAATTCTTGTGATTCGGCGCTCACCCCAAGCCAACTGTTGTTGTTACAATAATATTCAGAGTTGTAAAGTAACAAAATAAATTTACTTGGGTAACATTTTTGGGTGTTTACTTTTTAAAAAATACTCCAATGCAATTGAAAAAACAAAAATCGTTTCTCGTTGCATGCAAACTAATTATATTTTCTATTAATTAATTGAATAATTATTAACCATAGTAAAAGAGTGGTACGGGTGTAGGGTGTGGTGTGGGTGTGGAGGGGACATCACTCGGTCACACGTGAGATGAGGTGACGTCAGGTCAGGTGGCAGTGGCCATGACAGCGACTTTCGCTTTGATATTCTTGTGTTCACTAGCACTTTGACCACCCACCTCACCTAGCCTACCCTCTTATTCCCCCATTGAATTCCCTTTTTTCTTCCCCACCTTTTCTATTAGACGTCAGTTGCTCTTTACATATACCTGTACCTAAAATGAATTTCAAAGAGGCTGTGATTCTAAAATGCTTTACATAATTCCGACTTAGATATAAAGCCTGTATCTACACATGGAGTTCCACTAAACTTATCTAAACAAGAATGACCGCATCCCCTGTGAAGCAATTCGTCACGGGAAAAAAATGGTGTAGAAAGTCAATGATTCTTTAAGTTGTTTCCACAGACCCACCAACAGATTTGTCTGTGTTGCAGTCCTCATTGAGTTCTGGAAATCTGGTATATAATTATTGCAAACTAAAAAAAAATTGGACAGATGTGCAGAAAATAAAGACCCAATTTTAATATTTTTTTTTACATTATTGACGAATGGTACAGTGAAGAGGCACCACATATGCAACTTATTTCCTGCAGTGGTGAGAGCGTGTGAAGTTACCAGGAGGAGCTAACAGCCTAACATGGATATAGAGGAGCGTGAGGGAAAGCACGAGGTGGAGGGGTTCGACGTCATTGGTGTGGGGAGTGATGATGTTAAGCCTTCTATTAGGGACCAGATTTTGACTCTCTACAAACAAGGTAAGACTCAGCCACTTCAGGTAGGGGGTTTAGCTAAGTGAGGAGCCAACATGGTAAACCACACGTCACTACCGATAGATAAACAATTCTTACTAGAAGGGTTTAAGGGCCACATTTAATTTGCAAAAACAAAATATACATGAATTTATTGAGCCGGTGTAGTTGGAAGGCCGGTAGGGCCCTGTTCTTTGGCATTTTTTCCCACCTGAAACACCAGGTATGTACCTCACTCTTGATAATTTAGATTTTTTAGATTGCCGCCAAGGTAGGTAGATACCAAGTAGCCTCACGCAGGCCCATAGGAATTCACTAATTGGCAACTCTACTCTCGAGATCGCTAAGCCACGCCCCTTTTGCCACTTCATGCGTTTGTAATATTGAGGTATTATTATCTGCTTCTACTATTTGATGTAACTAAGTGGGCGGAGCTTAATAAGTGATGTCATCGCTAGCCAATCAGCGACGTTGGATGGAATCCAGCTGTCGCAAGTAACATATTTATATTTATTTTATACAATCAACACCTCAACCCGCCAGGATTCGAACCCACGGCCCACGAGCCCATGACTGTGACCAGGGAACGTTACCTCTGGACCACCAGGATACTAAAAGCAGTCCTAGACTCGGTTATATTTCACACACAAAGCCTGTTCAACGAGCTTATGGCGCCGTGAACTTCTAATGGGGACTACCCGTATCAGGCTTTGTGTGAAATATAACCGAGTCTAGGACTGCTTTTAGTATCCTGATGGTCCAGAGGTAACGTTCCCCGGTCACAGTCATGGGCTCGTGGGCCGTGGGTTCGAATCCTGGCGGGTTGAGGTGTTGATTGTATGTAGAAGTCCGCGTGTTTATTGGGCTAATGAATTATTTATTTTATATATTTAATCAGTGGCTCCAATTAAAATAAAACAAAAAATCTCTATTCCATACATTTATTGTACAACTTTTAATATCATCATAAGCCTTCAAAAATACGTAAATAAAAATTTCATTTTTATTTTCATTAGTGTAGATCCTATGGGAGTGAGGCTACCTGGTATCTCTACCTTGCCTTGAGCAGCAGGGCCTGGGCATCAGTCAGTTAGTCTGTAGACCAGCTGTCAAGACTACCCTCCACTAGCTGTAACTTGGATGAACGGCGGGTGCTGAAGACAAAGGAAAAGACAAGAAAATTAACTGACGATATTAATGGATACATGACTGCGATCATTTTCCCACAGGTGATGCCGCTGCCTTGTTGACCTTCATCACAGAATTTTCTGATAATGGAGAGGAGAATGGGACAACACCCTGGGATCCTCTACTCCTGTGGGTGCGGCCCCAGGCTTGCTGTCTTCAAGTCCTGGCCGCTCACACAAGGGACACTAACCTCTCTGCCCTGGCCTCCGTAGGCTGCGGCACTGGCTTACTGGAGTGGCTCATCCAAGCAACAACAGGTTTATGTGGTTCATTGTTGATGTATTGGCTATAAACACTGCATGCACTTTGGTAAATAAACTAGGGAGTGAGTAAATCAATGTGGGTGGCAATATTAGTGCATGTGCGGAGAACAAAGAAAACACTGTACAGTCTATCAACAAGTAACATAGCATTATGTGCATAATTTGATCGCATGACCCATATCATTCATTTACATAATTATCGACTTCGAAGATTAGGTTAAGTGATTTTGTCGATGTTCCTAGTACTGTATAGAATAATGGGTAACTAGCTGCCAAGTCAATAATTTTGAATGAACTACTTATTAAGAGTTAAAAGCAGCTATAGGATTGAACATCGGGTGTCAATATTCGAACAAGTAAATGAGTGTTGTGTTGCAGGTCTGTCAGTCATAGGGTATGAGGTGAATGGTGAGTGGTGGAGGTCAAGATATGCACCACCCACATTCATCCCCCTAACCTACGTGGAGCCAAATGTTCCCCCGCCTGTCGTGCCATCCACACACGCCCTTATGTGTTGCTACTTTAACAATGGAGAAGTATTCCGGTAAGTTTTAGTACCTTATACTGTACTGTTGAAAATTACGACTGTTCAAAATTATATACTGTATCTTAATTTTAACCTTGATGTGAAATGGTCCGTGAAGACTTATATGAAGTTACTGTATTTTTCTGTGTTCTCTTATTGTTTAGTGTTTTTCCTATTTTCACCGAATTACTGACATTATTACTTCTTGCAAAAACAGGCACCTGACTTTAGGAAAACAATTTGAACAAACTGTACTTACAAAATGATGTTAAATATCCACACGAAGTACACAGCAATATTGGCAATATGACTACTTGAGAGACTACCGTACCAAGTCATGTGAAAGATGACATAATATGAGCTAAACCAACGATGATTCTAAGAGGGTTTTTTTAATCGTTCATCACCTGTTAATGCATTGAAAAAGCCGTTTTTTTTTCTAAAAATCAGTTTTTGTGATATAGTCCAGAATGCGACGCCTAGCTTATACCTAGGTATGTTAATGCCTAGCAATAACTCGCCAGGCCAACATACAGGCAATTAAAACATCTAATAATTACTTAATAAGTAATATTAGGAGGACATGTCGCTACCTGGCATTTAATTGCAATTCTCAAAACCCCCTCCCGCACCCTCCATCACATGCACTGCCACCATCTCTTGCCTTAGAGCGAGCAGTAAACAAAAGTCAACCCTCGAGGGGTGGAGATGGTTGGGTTATCGGCGTCGCATTCTGGACTATATCACAAAAACTGGTTTTTAGACAAAAACGGCATTTTGTTCACTCCAGAATGCGACGCCTAGCTTGAATACCCGAGCAGGTGGTGGGGAGGGAGGTGACGTTGCATACAAGGCTCCGCTAGCTTAGGTCTAGATTATGATTTAAACCGTTTGGAATATTTTCCAATATTAGGAACATTTACCGGAAGGTAAAATGTTAATTTACATATCTCAATGAGGATACTCACTTTTTTCTGATAAGGAAGAAGGTCCTGGTTGTGGAGATTGACTAGGTGGGGGAGGGGACCCCAGCACCACCACATGTGAAGCATCTTTCGGAGATAGATGAAGATAGCTGTCTTCAAAAGTTTTTGAAGATCTCCAAAAGCCTATTTCTTTGATCTGACTGAGACTCATATGCCGCAGAAAGGCCACAGACCCTGCATATTTTCAAGTGTCATGTGCCAAAAATTTCTTGCCAGAGTCTGCTTTATTCACTAACTGAGATAAATATTTTGTCATTTGACTAGGAGACAATTTCTTACCATCCAGGGTTGAGAAAACATAGGGGCCTCGACTAGGGAATCTGGTTAGCCATTCCTGAAGATTTTTAACTGGGCACAATATATGAGGAACCCTTGTCTCATCCATTAGGCGTTTTATCCTAATAGGTTGAGCTTAAAAATCCTCCCTTTCATTTTTTCTTAGGATCTCCGTAGGAAAAAGGGTGACATCTTCCTCAGAAAATACCAATAATGATGGATTATTGGAAATTGAAATCAGTTCACTGATTTTCATGCCTGTTGCTATTGCTAGAAGGAAGGCTGCCTTCTGGAGCAATCTGTCCCGATTCAGATTTATATTGTAATTAGGCCCCATAAGAAATTTAGTAACTTTTTCTGGAGACCAAGGTGAGATTCTCTTTGGCCAAGGGGGTAACTGAATGAAAAAGGACGATCTGAGCATTTGACAAATCCTTGGGTTCAAAGTAATATTAAAACCCCACGCCAGAGGGTCAACCAATGCTGATTTATAAGATGCAATTGTCGATCCTTGAAGGCCTTTAACTATGAACAGAAATTCTAAAAATTCTAACACAACTGTTTCCGACAATGTGTCTGGAGTCGTTAACTTGATAAATTGTTGAAAGAGTTTCCAAGCTTTCTCATATTGCATAGAAGTTTGGGGGTGTATGACCTGCTATTACTTGGTTAGCTACATTGGAATTACCCAACAATCTATTTAAACTCCTTTTGAAAAACTCCAAGCGTGAAGTGCCAAGGATATCTTGAACTGAGAATGCAGTACCTGGTCTAGACATCCTTGTTGCGATTGTAGTGGATGCGGGCACCAGTCCAACAGATCCAGGCACCAAGGTTGTAGGATCCAATATGGTGCAATTAAGAGGACCTTGCCTTGGAAGGATCCGAGTTTGTGAAT